TGCCCGCTCCCGGCCCCGCGGCTCCGGGAGGATGTGGATCCTCGGCATCGCAGCAACGTTTTGCGGGTTCTTCTTGCTTCAAGGTAAGACGACGAGGCTGGCAGCCCCGCCAGGAGCGCGCACCGCTTCTACCGCCGGCCCCTGCGTCCCCTGGGCGCCCAGTGCTGCGCAGAGGTTGCCCAGCTGGAGTTCGGCGGCATCTGGTGCCCAGAGGCGTTAGATGGGAAAGTCTCCGAGTCCCGCGCTGCTGGAGGGGAGGCAGGAGCCGCGGATTTGCGGGACTCGAGCTGCAGGCGCTCGATGCTCGATGCTCGGGCTGCACTGTCGGAAGAAGGACTGGGGAGGCGGGAGGGTCCGAGCGCAGCAGGGGCCTCCTCCGCGAGGAAAAGGGACAGACAGATAGCCCCCAGCCCCGCCAAGTTGTCAGGCGTCTGTAGCAACCCGTGGGAGTGGCGCCGCCGACAGGTGAGCGGTGCGCGGGGCAGCCTGCGGCCGGGGCGCGCCCGGGCTGTGTCGCTGCGCTCCGAGCGCGACCAATCTGGGGCTGGGAGGGGCGAGTTTGGGGACCCCGCTTGTCTGCGCGGGAGCGGGGAGAGTTAGGTCTAGACAAAAGCTTGTAGATCCCAGCGGAGCAGCCAGGCTGGAGCGCTGAGAGACGCAAAAACGTGTCGCTCCTCCTTTCCAGTATGCGACCGTCTTCCGAACGAGCTCTCCGAAGCTGGGACCCCGACCGGGGACGCAGCCAAAGGGTTAGCCGGGAAGGGAGGGCTGGAGGGTCGCGGCCGGGGGTCCGAGCGCGCGCATACACGCACGCGCCTCCCTAGTCGCTGTGGTCACCGCTGCTGCTGCGGGGACGGTCCGGAGAAGGGCCGGGGACTTGGGGCGCAGTAGCAGTTGGCGTCCGGCACTTCCTCCCGGGTTCCCGGGTGGTCGCGTAGGGAGTCTCGGAGCCACACAGCACGGGAATGCTGACTCCAGAAATTAAAACTAAAAAGGCGTCTGTCTGCGAGTGCAATCGTGAGTGATGCCAAAATACTAATTAAGTCATTTGTAACCAATTAACAATTAGGCAAATCCTTCAGCGTAGAGTGCCTAGGAGCTGACGCTGGTCTCAGGAGCGACGCCTCCCTCGGGGTGTGTACCCCTCCCTGCAGCTTCCACGTGGAAAGGCCAGGTGTGGCGTTGTACCGGCTCTTTGTTACGCGAGCGTGGGTCCAGGTGTAGCTCGCAGAATAACACTTGATCTTTCGGGACCCTGGGTGCCCGCGCCGCCCCCTGCCGGCTTCAGCCGCGTCGGCTTCGCTCTGAAACCCTGCAGCCAGAGCACTGGCCC